AGTGTCAGCATGCCTGCTGTGGTACGTTGGCTCAGAAGGCAGGAGGAGCACCTCTAACTCCTCATCAACTCTGTCAGAGCTCCAGCTTATATTTCTGAATGGGACATGGCACCACGTGGAAGGCAAAAAGGTGTTTGCAAGTAATCATTCCTGAAACATCAAGTGATCATTCATTTATTCCTTTAAGGCAGACTTGCACTCTCCTTTCTCCTCTCTAATTTCCAAAGACTTCCTAGTCTTCATAGACCTGGTGCAACCCAGTTGAGAAACTTCATGGCAACTTCAAATCCAAGAAAACATGCCTGGAAAAGAGAGAACATACAGAACAAGTAAGAATTTGAAAAGCCTATTCCAAACAAGGCTTTTGAATGCAGCACTGCAAACACCTCACATGGTTGATGCAGAAGGAGGAAGAGAACAAAAAAACATCTTAGACCAGAGGCAAGAATTCTATTACATCCCTACACACAGAGGGAGAACTTCTACTCCATTAGGGTCATAATTTATTGAAGGGGAAGCCAGTCAAACTTGTCCACCCTTTTTTTTCTACTACTGGTGGATGTACAATCAGAGAGAGACACTATCCAAAGGAGTCAAAGGGCTTTCATGCAAAGCTTCACAGGAAGGTTAACTTGGAGTTCCCCCCAGATCTAAGTGCATTTTTAGAACCTGGACACCAAGAGCCAGAAGCACCTGCAGTGACAAGAATCTCAGTGAAGTGGTACAACAGTAAGCAGCCAGTCATCAAGCATTCCCTGTGAGTGCCCAGGTCCCCAGTACCCATCTGGAATCACCATTTACTTACTGCATTTGCGGGAAATGCCCTGATCATTACAGCTGTGAAGCCCTTATACAGAGATGCAACTCCCTCCTCTCTGATAAGTTCTCTCAGCACATCTCTAAAGCCATTTGGGTATTTTCCTGGAGGAGCTGAAAGGGATACAAGACACATTTGCTAAGTTGTGTGGTCATCACAAATGCTGAGGAGCATGGTGTATTAGCAGCCCAGGATTTTCAACAGGTTCTGTTGAAAACATCACTGTAGCATCTAGAAGGCACCAGGATCCAAGCACTGCTTAAGTTGTGTTGCAAAATCATCTGCTTCAGTCAAAAACAAGCAAACAAAAAGGACACCTTGCTAAAGACTCGGTAAACAGAAGGTAGGTGCTCACCATCTCCACAAAGCATTACTAACCAAGTAATTGAGGGGCAGGGAAGAAAGGAGAGTAACTTTTGTCAGGGTTTGATGTCTGAGCTGTTACTTGTGGCACTGGTCACAGCTCTCCCAAGAGCTGCTATTAGGAGACAGGAAGGTCAGATTCAAAAACTGATGAAGTTGGTTTATCAGACAGTGATCCTATCACAGGTGCAGCCAAGAATAGCAACAAACTTCAAGTGAAAAGTACAGGCTGTTTTAACGCTGGTGGTTACACAGATTTGCTGAGGCATTTTTAAAAAGTGCTTTTATTCAAAGAACAAGTTCTTCTTTCTGACACTACTCTGGAAAGTACTGCTTTTGCCAGTCTTATGGAACAAGGACTCCACAAACCAATCCAGTTACACAGAACCACCATGAACACCCATTATCTGTACAGCAGCACTGGAGATTGGCCCAGTGGAACAAGGATGGGAAGCTGGGATGTATTCCACACTCAGCCCTTGGAATGGTGGTACAACAACCACAGCTGCCATTGTTCAGAGAATAAGAAAAGAAGTTTCCTACACTAGATTATCATGATCTAGGACTCGAACCACAGCTGCCATTGTTCAGAGAATAAGAAGTTTCCTACACTAGATTATAATGATCTAGGACTCAAGAAAAATGGTTACTGCCCATCCCATGGACAGCTGAGTCCACAGATGGAGAATACAATTAGCCATAAAAATAGTAATTGACTCCCAGGGAATCAAAGGATAAACCTGTCAAACTTCACTGAAGCTCAAGGTATGGCACCATCCTGACTGTAACTAGGACAGATATTTCAGAGCAGACCTGCTAATCTAAAATAAATGCTCTTGGCCAGGCATGCCCAGTTGCTACAAATTTCAGATAGCACAGGTCTGAAGCAAAATAACAAAGCCCCTAAAGAACTTAATTTGTAATAAAACAGCCATGACAAGCCCTTCTGTTATTATGGCTTACATGATTAGGCTTCAAACCAGGAATCTCAAATCAGGAACATTACATTAGCAGGGAGGAAGAAACAGAAAATGTGTAAATAAGCCAACTAAAAATCTAGGAACAGGCTTGGGTTTTCCATGTACTTGTCTCAAGCAGTGCTCAAGACATGCTCAGATGGCAGCTCCCATCTCTGCCCATTCCCAGGAGCATTGCACTGTGTGGCTGTGACAGGCTGGCAGGCAACTCACCAGTCTGGAAACGGGATTTCAGCACGTCAGGTGGGATGGCAACTGCCCAGTTGAAGATCCCAGCCAGGCCCCCAGCAAAGAGGATCCTTGGTGCGCTGAGGTCACTCACACTGACAGGATTGGGGTGAGAGGAAAAAGAAAAGAAGAAGTATAAACTCATCTGTTTTGACTAACGTGACAATCAAAGAGGCAGCACAACCCTGCAGGCACAGAGTGCAGGATCTGAGCAAGATTTCCAACAATCAGAGCCCCATGGGCAAAATGTACTAACTCCACCCTAAAGGCTCAGATCTTTTCATTCAGCAGCACACACACCAATGGCTCTGGGGAAAAAACAACCAGCTAACCAAACAACAACAGAGAACCCCGACAACAAAGCCCCCCAGATCATCGTGCACACACAGGGGGGAAAGTGAAGAGACCTGCTTTAAGTATTCCTTACTTGGCTAATAAGATCCAAGGCTAGAACCTGACAGAAACTCAGAATTCTGCTTTGCCAGTTAACCCCAGGCCAAAGGAGCTCAACTTGCAAGATGAGTGACCTTTTTTTCCCCTAAAAAATTTGTTTTGATGAGACTGCTCTAAATCTCTTTGTAACTGGGGAGATTAATCAGCAATGTCTGGGAAGTCCAGAAAATGATGACTGTGAGATTTCACTAACCTCTTTCCGGTCAGAATGTTCTTCAGCCATTCGTACGTCATGAAGTACATTCCACTGGCTGGGACATCTAGTGGGTAAACAACAAAGACTGTGAGTAGTGGGAAACAAAATGAAGCCTAGAGGCAAAGCAGCCCCATGCCAGCACAGCAACACCACTAAGTACATCCAGATTCCTTTTCTGAACCTCCTTCACAAACAAAACAAAAATCTTCTCTTGTTCTAGACAGAGAAGCCTGAACTTTCCCAGAGACAGCAGGTGCTAAAGGCAAGAACTGGGAAAATATTTATTATGGAGCACATCTGTCAGCAGCCTTTCAAGCCAGACTGTAACCTGCCTGCTGGCCATTAAGCTAATGATGAGACAGCCCTAAGCTTTCTTAATTGCTGCAAAACAGACCAGAAATCAAACAGTTCAGGAATTTCAAAGAGTTTTGCATACTATTGGCTCTAACAATTCTGTTTGGGGTTTTTTTAGTAGTTGATGGGGTTTGGTTTGGTTTTTAAAGGTACCCCCACAGCCCACTCTTAGGTCATGCCTCAACTGGAGAACCAGCCTCTGGCTAGGGACACTGCCAGTCACATTGCCAGCTGCTGCACCACTGTGAGAAGCAGAGGATGGAGCAAATTCCTAAACTGAGATATCTAAACATAGATATTTCAGATTATCCTTGGAAACACTGTCCCAGTACAGGGAACAATCTAACTCTTTTCAAAGGAGAAAGTACCAAAACACATATAGGATTCAGTGTCTGGCACAGTTACCTCATTGTTGTTGTGAGAGGGGTCACCACAGTCCAAAATAACCCACCCTCAAGCAGGTAGAAAGCATAGCTGCTGCAATCACATCTTTTAAAGCAGTCAGCACTATAAAGCAACAGTCACAGAAAGTCACAATCCTTCCCTCAAGGAAGAAAAATAAAAATAAATTTAAAAAAGCCCACTCTTTTTCTTTTCTCTTTGTTTGCTCTCCTCCTCTCCTGAAGTCTCTCCTTCCTCTTGGCTTCTCAGACCTTAATTACTTCCTATGTCCCTCTGATCCTTGTCATCTAATCTCTTCCTCACTCACTGAGAATCTCATGTCTGTTTCTCAGCCCCTTTGAGGCACTGGAGTAGCTCTGCAGACTGCAAAAAAGAAAAAGGGGTCACACAGCATCTCCAATTGGCTAAAGGGTCAGATACCATGTCAGGATTCTTATCTCAAAGCACTCTAAGCAGAAGCATCAGAACATCTCCATCAGTTACCTCTCATGAGGGTGAGCACTGTCCCCTTGTACACGCCACGAATCCCAGCCTCGCGGTACAGCTGCTTGGCACAGTCCAAAGAGCCACTGTATTTAGTTTCACCTGTAGCTGCCTGGATCTGAAGGATTAAAGCAACAATTTCTGACTAGTGAAGGTTTCTGGCTGGTGAACAGTCATTCAGCTAACAGTTAGAAAGCCACGTGCACATTTCCAGAAAAGAAAGAGCACATGCTCGTTCCACGGGCACTCCTGCCTGTGACACCTCGTGTCCCTCCCTCAAACAGCTCTCCCTGTTTGCTGTTCCCTGCAGTCACTAGTTCTCCCTTATTTGTCCATACTGTAAGTTTGAAACAACCAAAGTCAGTCCAGTGACTCTACACTTGCACTGACAAGAAGCAGCTTTCAAATAGTTCAGTGAAATTCCAAAGCTTTCATGATAATGTCACGTCAGTCAGAACTAAGATGTGACCACACGTCATCACCCTAGGGCACTTCAGCACAGCTTGAGAAAAGCAAAGCCTCCAATCTCTGCTAAAGATGGTCTTGTCACTTGTTTGCATTTTCCAACAATACTTCATAAAACCTGGAGGAGGTGTAGAGCTGACAGTCACCTGAACATCAGAAAACTATTTCATGGGATTTGAAATGCATTCCACACTTATGGACACAGAAAATCTTTGCACTAGAAACAGTCTTACTATCTTATAGCTTCCCAATTTTTTAGAAAAAGCTTTGTTCTGAAAAACTGGACTTTTCCATAATTTGCAGTGGATTGAGGCACCCCCTGATGCCTCATATAATGCCATAAAGACTAAGGCTTGTGCTCTGAGGAGTGAACAGAGCAACAAATGCTGTGTGTGCTCGGGCTGTCGTGGTGAGTTTGTATAATGCTTCTTGGTGACACAGCTGCATTAAATGACAGTTGTTTCAGTCCTGTCAAAAAGCAGAACAGAGTAAATACACTAACCAAAAAAGTTACTGGAACGGAAAGACAAAAGCCCTAAAATTCAATTCCCATCACCAGCACCCAAGGCCTTACCTGTAAAAGGCACTTGATTCTCTCTCCTGGAGCCATGATAACTGTTGTGAACACTCCTGACAACATGCCAGCAGCAAACAGCTGAGGGTACCTGCCCCAAGGAAACAGAGGAGACCCTCACACAACTGGTAGGAAACAAAGGGCAGGAGACCCCTGCACCAGACTGTGCTGCTCCACACGAGATGGGCAGTGGAACTAAAAAGGCATCCACTGGCTTTGATCAGTGCAGAAGTGCCTCAACAATGCATAACTAGAGCTAAACATTCAAGGATTCTAGGATACAAAGCCCTGGTTCCCACAGCAACCACATCTCAGCTCTTCTCATCCACTGTATTTGCTAATATTCCTCATACTTGCATTTTTTGCTACAGCATTCCCCATTCATTTTTATGCTCAATAGTCTCCTCCTCCCCAGTCTCCCACTCTCCTCAGTGACCGCAGCTTCCAAGCATATTCCTGCTTGGACCACCAGGAGCCTCTTTTCTGTAACCTCTCAGTCCCTCATTCATTCATCCTCTGCAGTAATCGAGACTGTCCTACCAACCTGCCATCATCCCACACATTCTGCACCTGCTTTCATACAGCAAAGTCTCCATGACAGAAATCCCTCTGACTGACTTTCTCCATCATCACAAACTTATTTTTACATCCAACATCCTGCTACGTTCTCTGGTAAGACAACCTAATATATCAATTTAATTAAATTCCACACCTCCCACTGCTCTCCACTTGCCCAAGAGTTGGCAGTCTATTCAGGTTTTCCAACTCTTACATCTCTCTTTACTCTTAAATTACCACTGAATCTTCCAGACCATTCAGACCTCCCACACCACTCCACAAGCACCTCCTGTTCAAGCTAAGCTTTGAGTTTTCTAACTCACTTTGGGACTATTCAGTCCCAGAGAAGACAAAACAAGCTCCTCAGGTTTCTCTTCATTTCCTTCATTACGAAACTTCCCTTCAAATTCAACATGGGGATCCATTGCGACCCTGCTTGCCTCTAGATCCATAACCATGGAGCTAAGGTCCATGGGCTGACCTTTCTCCCTGGGCCTCACACCCCAGCACACTACCAAGTCTGCACCTAAGGCACAGCAGAGTTGGGCACAGTGATAGTTCCACCACCTATTATTTCTTGACCTTTGTTCTTTCTCTCCCACTGCTCTGCATAAAGTCTCAAAAGACTGTGCTGCCCTTCTCCCATTTGGTATTCCCTTTGGTATGATGTGTACAAAACACATAGCACTGAGGTGGAAAGGCTGCTGGAAGTAAGTCCACAGCCCATTTGTTTCCTTCTGTTCTCCTTACTGTTTCCCTGATCTTTCCCTTCAGCCTCGTCTGCAGGAGGACACTACTGTGGCACACAGAAGGGTAAGGCAGCAGTGCCCAGCCTCCCTGAGCCACCAGAGCAGAGGAACTTCTCCCTGTGTCACAGGGATTGTCACAGCAGGTGAATGCTGCACAGCCAGGTGTGCTTACACCACCCAGGAGGTCCCTGCACGGGCAGAGTGCCAACAGAAACCTCCTCTCCCCACCCCACCACACTTGGCTCAACACAATAGACTCCTGCTTTCTGACAGAGCTCCTACAGATCACACAAATAACGGAATAAAATGTTGCTAAGCTACAGTTCTGTTCCTGTAAATCACAATTCAGCACGGAAGTTAAGGGAGTAATTTATGGGTGCAGGCCTTTCTTCATGCATAAGTCAGCTTGGAGAAAGCCACACCAAGTTTTCTTAGCTTCCCATTTCTTTTCCAGAAGGCTGGCTGCTCATAAACACCTCTCAGAAATTAATAACAAAGCATTTCTATGGCTATTATTACATACTAATGTAAGGACAGGTCAAGAGTGGCAACTAACAAGGAAAAGAAACTCAGGAGGACTGCGCATGTCGTCAAGACTGCTTGACCATGAAGTCATTTCTCCCACAGTTTCTGTTAATAGCAGGGCTGTTGGCAGGCCAGCATTATACACCTCACACTCCACGAATCTAAACCAGACTCATTCCTTAATGACTCTCTATTGCACAGAGAGGGAACTGCACAGCACTTGCCCACGTGCTGCCTGTTTTTAGCCTGTGCTATCAGTCCCACGCTTCCAGGAGCATTAAAACACACAAGGACTTTATTTTTCAGCACTATATTTAGAATCCAGGAGAAGAGACGACTCCACATCACAGCTCAGTGTGCCACAACACAGCAAGGCTGCAAGAGCCTGACAGTGCCTTTCCCAACCGCCCCATCAGCTCAGAAACTCACGTCAAAACGTCGTCAGGTTTTCTCTGTTGGAGCCTTTTTCCCAAGCCAAATCCAAAGAAGCACACAGCAAACATGGGTGTCACTCCAACAATAGGAGCTGCCATTCCTCGGTACAAGCCTCGGACTCCCTGCAAGAAATGTTATCACAAAAATTACTTGGCTTGGCACAGACTTTGCATGCACTTCAACTTCCTGAGAAGTGAAAGGCTGCCACCCAGGATGGAATCAGCCAGATTAGCCACAACTATATCAGGGTTTATTGTTCATCTGCATTTACACATGTTTAGATGAGACCCAGGGCCAGTGGCAGGGCAATTCTATCCTCCTGGAAAACATGTGTACTACTTACACCCTGCTGTTTCAAAACTATTGATCCTGTACTTCTATCCTAAGAAAGTTAATTTAAAAGCCATCTGAATAAAAGTCCTAATAGATTGTTTCAAAAATCTTCTCTCTCACATACCTATAAAAAGGCACAGGTTCTTTATTAATAAGCCATCAAATGCAGTACTATAAAATCCTGACACTGAGCCTGAGAACACTGAATCAAATTTACTCTTTAGATAAAGGAAGAGGCAGAGAAACAAACCTGAACAAGTTCACTCCCCACACAAACTCAATCTGGAATGAGTTAAAAAACAAACTATTTTTTCTTTCCTTCCCTAAGTAAAAACCTTTTCACCATACAACCTTACATTCCTGATGTTTCTCTTCATCAGATCATACACATGGAAAAACTCTCATGCAAGTTCCAGCAGTAGCATTTATTTCATTGATCTTGTCTTTGACCTGAACTTTTTCTAATTAAAAGGAGAGTTATCTTTCTAGATAAAGGCTGGATGCTCCAATTAAATATTTGCTGCTCTGTCTACCTCTTCCTTCTCCCCCCCTGACAAATCAGTGTATCCCAGTGTCTGCCTGTACACTCAGGGGCACAACTGACTCTGTAACAAAACTGTATCTGGCTGACAAAGATCCTGCCCATCCTTCCCAGGAGCAGTGGGAAACAAAAGACCTTGGCAGAGAGGTTTAATAGCTTTCCTTATGGAAAGGGATGAGTGTTGAGTAGGAGTAGAGAGGCAGCATTACTTCTGAACCTCACTTCACAAGGCTGTTATTATGGCTCAGCTCTGACGTCCGTGCTCCAGCAGGGGTGTTAAAAACTACCAATGGATTCAGTGCTAGCAGGGGAGCAGGATCTGCTTACATTGTATAACAACCTCTTAATACCATCAAGAAAGTAGATTTCAGATAGGAGACTGATCTCTCTCATTTAACAGAGAGCTACCTAACAAGATCCAATGGTTACAAGTCAGACCTCAGACTAGGAAACAAAGGGTTGGGCTTTACAGGCATTGTTTCCAAATGGCAAACAGCTGCTGGGAAAACTTGTGAAGCAGAAAACTGGACTCTGTGTCACCTGAAGTCTTTAAAGGAAGGCTGAGTGGCTTTCTAAAAACAAAAGAGACTCTGCTTCAGCCACATGACATGGCTGATTCAGAAGCAAAAGCCACTGCCCACCTTCTGAAGAGGATTGAAAAAATGACTATAATTAACCCTCTGTTCTCAAAGGAAAAAAGAGAAAACCCTAATTACTCAAGCTGATGCTCCTCTGCCTTCTCACAGATTGCACAGCAGAAGTACTGCTTTTACTAACAAAACTCATTGCCTATTTTAGGATTTCCAGAGACAGCTCCAAACACCACGAACTACAACAAAGCCAGGAAAAAAATTGCCAACATTCACTCCAATTTATAACCTCAGACATTCACATCATGGTTATTTTGAACCAAGAGCATTTCCTAACAAAGCACAGCGCCGAGGACCTGGCACATTTGCACTCTCCAAGTTTTATAATCCACTTTAAAATGTTAATTACAATCAATTCAACTGATAAGCCAGGAATTGTAAAGTCTCTGAGTGACAACTTTCCCACAGGATTCCGTTCCTGTACAGGAACCACAGACATTTCTGGCAGATGATGTGCTAACACGGTACCTCTGCCGTGAGGGTCTTTCTGAAGCAGTCAAAGGTCCCAGAATAGAGGGGAGGCTGACCAGGCTGTGGCTTGGGCTGGGTTTGCAGTCTGACCTAGTAAAGCAGGATAGGAAAACATTAACTTATTAAATATTCCTAGCTAAGCTTTGAATCAGAGAACATCTCCACGCGACTATTGTGGAGTAAGATTTGCAACACGACTTCAGGATATCACTAAGACAAATCAACACCACTTTAGCCCTTTGCGTAAAACAAAGAGATTTTAAAATGTATTTAACGGTTCGTTTCAGTAATTAATTGCTGTGATGGCACCGGGATAATGACCCCACCGAGATCTAACGCTGTGCCACTGCTCAGCTTCCCCAGACACTCCTCCTGGGGCCTGATTTATTGTGTCTGTGCGTCCCTCCCGGCCTTGCCCAGGGGCGCTGGGGGTGCCCACCGCATCCCGGGGCTCAGGGAAGCGGTTCGGGCTCCCAGACCCTCCCAGCACCAACACGAATTGTTCTCATTTTCACCATCACTCGGGCCCTGCCTGACAACACGCCACGGCCTCCGGGCCGCGAGGGGGCGCCCTGCCGCACGGGCGGTCAGCCC